TGAGATATTAACTTTTAAAACATTGAAATTTGAATATTCAAGATTCTTTGCTTCTAACATGATGAAGTATGATTCACATAGCATGTAAGAGAATTGTTATGGAGAATAAATTACTGTTTTTAGAAATATTTTACAAAAAAATCAATCCCCGACAGAGTTCTACTGACCTTGGTGCTGCAGATAAATTGGTGGCTTGGAAGTACTCATAACCTTTCCATTGTTATCTTTACCTGAAGAATAATAGTTTAACACCCATTCAAACAAACGAGGGTGTGTACCAGAAGAGCCAGTAGGCTGATGAAAGTCAATAATTTGACACCTATAAATTAAATTAAATTAAAATGTCTCCATAAATAGCCAGATAATAAATGCCATCTGGTATCTTTAAAATTCTATGCACATAATGATTCTGCCCTTAGATTAAAAATCATGCCATTGTAATTCTACAAAGTCAACTATATTCAGTGGCTGAGCCCATTTATTTCTGGCTTAGTTGCCAGGCAAGATACACGAAACCATACCAGTTTTAATTTTTCTCTCTAAAAGATAGAACTGTGTGTAGAGACTGGACAAATTCACTTTTGTATTTGGAAAGAATTCTGATTCATCCTGTCTCCTAGTGACTTAGTAGGAAATTATTTTAAGGTGAAGAAAAACAGGATGGGAGAGATGTTAGAAAGCACTCAGCCTGGCAGGGATGAGGGATCAAGTGCAGAGTTAGCCTGAGGTCACTGTTCTTTACCAGACCCATGCAGAAAACATGGGCATAGAAGAAGGTATAATTAATACATGTTTTATTCTGCCTTTTTTACTTTGTAATAAATTCAAGGCAGTGAACATACTGTATTTTTAGGAGTATAAGGCGCACCAGTATTTAAGACCCACCAAGATTTTGAATAGGTAAATTTAAAAAAAAAGGTTTTTGAATTCTGCATGCCTCGCAAACCTTCTGCATGCCTCATTTTTTTGTGAAAAATGGGGCATGCAGAGAGTTTGAGAGGCCTGCAAAGTGCTGCTGGGGAGGGCAAAAACGAGAAAAGAATGACCATTTTTTGCAGAAATGGGCCTGTTTTTTGCCAAAAAAAGAGGGCATGCATAGCCTTTAGGGGGCTTTTAGAGTGCTGCTGGGGGCTGGAGGGACAAAAACAAGCAAAAAACGATCTGTTTTTCACTCGCTTTTGCCCTCCCCAGCCCCCAGGAACACTTTGCAGGCCTCCCAAACCCTCTGCACATCCATTTTTGTGAAGTGGGTGGGGTTTTGGAAGACCAAAAATGCTGTATTCAGTGTGTAAGACACACCCAGATTTTCATCTTTTTTGGGGTAAAGGTGCGTCTTACACTCCGAAAAATACAGTACTTAATGCTCCTTCTTTCTCCTATTTTCTCCACAACAATAACCCTGTGACATAGGCTGGGGTGAGAAAGAGTGAGTTCCCTAAGTCACACCAGCCAGCTTTCATGTATAAGGTGATACTAGAACTCACAGTCTCCTAGATTCTGGACCAGCATCTTAACCACTACACCAAGCTGGCTCTCATATTTTTATTTTATTATGTTATTCACCTAGGTGGAGATGGACTGAAGCATCGATACCAGTTCATAAGGAACTGTATTTTTTAATCCTTGTTGTCTGTATTTTCTTGGAGGGAGATGAGAAAATTATTAAATGCAATTGGATTATCTGTGAAGACTGAGTGTCAGCAGTGTGGAAATGCTTTAAACTTGGCTTCTAAGATCGTTTTCACATTTGGTAGTTTGTATTTACAAAAGGATTTCTCTTATTTTAAGAATTTATACCATCCCCTTGTGTGAAACTGCTAGGGCGTAGATATAATAAACTCTTTTATCCTGATACTATTTTTTTAATATTGTTGTTTTCAACTATTATTTTTATTTATTTTTTATTCTTCAATTATTAAGGAACTGAAAATATACAGTTCATAATAAATAAAAATGTCAGAAAATTTTCTTATCTTTAGTAATGGATACTATTGAAATATTTGGCTCAGAACTAAGATTTTCCTGGGTATTCAACACTTACTTTAGCCTTAGAAAAGTTAAGAGTGAATAAATTTCACATGCTCCTATCCATGCTTTAGTTCCTTGTAATCTGCTGTTGAAATGAGAAGCTCCTTGGGGATCAAAACCTTCTTTCCAAGCATCTTCAATTTGTGTTTGTATTTTTGGAATACAAGGAACTGATGAAATATCTAAACAAGAAAGAGGATAACATTTAAAATCTTTCAAAAGGAAAAATTGAATTCACAATATTTTTGTTCTGAGAGATTGTGGAATGGGTCAGTCCTTAGTTTGGAAAATACAGGTAGTCTTCGACTTACAACCACAATTGAGCCCAAAATTTCTGTTGCTAAGCGAGACAGTTGTTTAAGTGACTCTTGCCCCATTTTACAACATTTCTTGCCACAACTGTTAAGTGAATTATTGCAGTTATTAAATTAGTAACATGGTTGCTAAATGAATCTGGCTTCTCCTTTGACTTTGCTTGTCAGAAGGTCCCAAAACCCTGGGACATTGCAACCATTTGCCAAGCATTTGAATTTTGATCACACGACCATGAAGATGTTAGAATGGTCATAAGTGTGAAAAATGGTCATACATCAATTTTTTCAGTGGCATTGTAACTCCAGTCAGTCACTAAATGAACTATTGTAAGTGGAGAACTACCTGTAATTCTTTTTGACTGATAGATATATCTGTCAACAGACATGTCAAAGAGAAGAAATTTCTCTTGGCCTGAGACTGGAAAAGGCCTATAGGGATAATGTCTTCTCCTTTCAAAAATGGTAAGTAAAGTGCTATCCCTAAGAATATGTAGATTGATGGCAGTGTAATTCTTGCTTACCTTAACGGTAATCCGGGAATGAGAAGTTGAAAAAAGGGCTGCAAAAATAATGGTGCTTATCAGTCTTTTGTTTTCTTCTTTTTTTCCTTTGGTTCAAAATGATCTCTGGTATGCACACTCTTTAAAGAACTGAGAAAACTGATCTCTTTACTTGCATTTAAAAAGTTCTTCAAACCCAATTTGATCCAACAGGGTTTTATCATTGATATTTTGAATTAATGTCTAATTTTTTTAATACTTTATATACTGGAGCAGTACTTGGAAACTATTATTTAGATATTTTAAATTCAGCCTTTATTTTTTTTAAATAACTTGAAGTGTAAACATACATAATACTACATCATATTTTCCCCACAACAATCCTGTGAGGTGGGTTGGGCTGAGAGAGAGTCACTAGCCCAAGGTCACCCAGTCAGCTTTCATGCTTAAGGCAGGACTAGAATTTAGTCTCCTAGTTTCTAGCCTGGTGCCTTAACTACTGAACCAAAGTGGCCATTTACATTAGTTAAGTACAATAGTATAAAATATAATAAAAGTTTAATATTAAATAAAATCTTCACACTGTTAAAAGCAAGTGGGAAATCTAAAATTGGATATTGTTTCAGAAGAGTTGTGTGTCTGCAGGCTCTGGATACAGCTGAATAAAACAAGTTTCAACTTAAAAGACTCCCTTTCTTTTTAAGTACAGTGGGACCTTGGGTCACGACCGCAGTCCATTCCAGGACTTCAGTCAGCACTCAATTTGGTCGTGACCGGAAGCAAGACTGAGTGCGCATGCAAGGACACACACACACAAAAGGCGTGGAAGGGGAAATCGCTACGGCAAGAAAAATAGCTGCATCTGTGTTTGATCGCCACCCGAGGATGTGTTCGTGAACAGAGTGAAACATTTAGCGTATTTTTTGGTCGGCACCCGATTTGGTCGTGGTCAGAACCATTCGTGACCCAAGGTCCCACTGTATTGTTTCTTGCTATTACTGAATTACATTCAACAGGTAACATCACAACAGTATGCTAAGATCATGTCAGAATTGTGGATGTCTACATGCTGACAGGTCTGATCTGGGAGATGATAAGTATTTCTTCCTGGAAAACCTTTATGAATATGAGAAATTTACCAAAATTAAGTGTTCCCTATCTCAGAATCAAAAGAATACTAAATCACAGAGGGCCCTATGCAAATTTAGTCTGAAGTAGATTGCTTTGATTGCTATGAAAACTATGTAACAAAGTACAAACCTTTCAAACATTCTTTATAGGAGTTATTTCTCAAAAGAGAAGAAAACAGAATTTGAAAATTCCGATAACCACAACCCCAGCCTTTGTCTCCAAGAGAACAGTGAAAGTGATCCACTCCTGTAGAAAGCCACACGTGCTTTATATCTTTGCATTCATTCTGATAGTACTGGCACAATGCTTCAGTAATTCCTAGTTTGAAAAAAGATGAAAATGGAGAAATATTGTGTTAACTTAATTTACAAATTATTCAATTATTCAGTTTTACAAGATATGACTTGATTATGAGCCCATCAAGACAGTGTTTACTTTTAGCACCTACATAGATTCTTTAGATTATCTGTTCTCAACCTGACCTTTCAGGTCTTCCAAAGATGTATCCATCAATGTTGTAACCCAACTCCTACTGCAAACAATTTTAAGCAACCTTATAATGCTAAAATAACACAAGCCTTTTAGAACAATACTTCAGGTCCAGACTAGGGAGCTGTGGTAGCGCAGTGGTTAGAATGCAGTATTGCAGGCTAATTCCGCTCACTGCCAGGAGTTCGATCCTCACTGGCTCAAGTTTGATTCAGCCTTCCATCCTTCCGAGGTTGGTAAAATGGGGACCCAGATTGTTGGGGGCAATATGCTGACTCTGTAACCCACTTAGGCCATGAAGCAGTATATAGGTCTAAGCACTATTGCTATTGCCTATTGGTGTGTCTTCAAACATATTCCCTTATAATAAAATAATGGCTACATATAAAGTAGCTAATTAAGGAGACTAGGCAAGGGGAAACATTTTTTTCTGATGGATGCCATCATTGGATATCTTTATTTAGATTGAAAATTGTCTATTTGAAACAATTGCATTATTAAAGCAGCTGTTCTGTAGGGAGAATGAGGCAGACAGGAACTGAGGCAAGGCAGGTTGAAGTTAACACAACCTTTATTAACAGTGTAACACAGTTCAATGTAAGGCAAACCTCTAACCAGCAAACAGCAACATTTGACAGCTGACAGCCCTTTTTATACTAGAGCTGTCAGACACTGAACCAATAGAATGGCTGCATTCTTCCGCCAGCTGGCTGCTCGCGTCTTAACCAATCAGGAGCCAGCAATGAAAGTCAATGGCGTCGTAGCCTTGAGGACTTAACAGCAGCAATTTAGTTATGGACACATTCATAAAAGATAACTTTTCAGACGAACAATGATCCTACCATACACCTGACAGTAACGACACTGTTCCTATAACTAGAAAGAGAAATGAATTCTTTCTTCAGAGGAAGAAAGACTATAAATATGACTGTCAAATGAAAAACTAAGGCATACATTTTATTTTATCTGAAGGCAATAATTAAATGTATAAGGAGTTAATACTTTTGATAACACTATCCTTAATATGGTTTGTAAGAATCACCACTTCTAGAACATTTTATGTTCTAACTTTATTAATTTGAGGGCACAAGGAAACAAATGGTGATTTCTTATATGAATCTATAATACACAGTATCACAATATTAAATGATGAATGATGATTTAAATAATCCCTTTTAGATATTTGAATCAGGTTTTGAAGCAAGAACTTACTAACCTGAAGTCTTTGTCTTTCCATCATCAACGCCTAAAGCCAGAGATTCCAACATATCAGCTTTTCTCCTGTGATATTCTGATGGTTGCATTCTTCCGAAATCCACTTCTTTTGTCATGGCTTTTAGAGACTGTTGCTTGTACCCTCCAGAGCCATCTAAGCCATATTGTCTCTGTGGTGGACAAAATATTCTTTTAAGGGTGAGTACTGCTGATGTCTTGGATCGTAGCTTCCCTACTGCCTTAGTACTGATTGTGCTGAATGGAATCCAGGGGCGCATCAGACTGGGAATGTTTTTCTAGAAACAATTTGAGATATTAGGCTACAGATAGCTAGGAATGTTTATCACTGAATTGCAGAATAGTAAATCAACTGTATAAGGCTTCAATATATTATTATTTGTAGAGAGAGATGTTTGGAAAGTGCATCAGAATTCTATAGAGAGCTTTGGCAGAAAAGGTCTTGTCCCATCTCTTTATTAATAAATCAAGAGATCAACTTAATACTGCATCCAGTTTTGCTCACATTACAAAAAGATGTTGAGACTTTGGGAAAAGTGCAAAGAAGAGCAATTAAAATGATTAATTGCTCAAAAACATATGAAGAACGTTTGCAGGAATTGGATATGGCCAGTCTAGAGAAAAGAAGAACTAGGGAATGACATGATACTACTATTCCAGTATTTGAAGGGCTATCACCAAGAGTGGGTCAACTTATTTTCCAAAGCATCAGAAGGCAAGACAAAAAATAATAGATGGAAACTAATCAAGGAGAGAAGCAACCTGGAATTAAGGAGAAACTTCCTATCAGTGAGAACAATAAACTAGTGGAATAGCTTGCCTGCAGAAGTTGTAGATGCTTCATTACTGGAAGTTTTAAAAAAAAGACTGGATAGAAATGGCATAGGGTCTCCTACTTGAGCAGGGGGTTGGATTAGAAGACCTCCAAAGTGCCTTCCAGCTCTATTCTGATTGAAGGAGTGTTGTTCAAACAATAGTGAAGAAATCAACCAGCCATGTAATGTAGTAACTTTAAAAGTGCATGTTAATGTAGTATTTTATATCCTGCATTTTTTCCATCATGATTCGCTAGATCTCTGAATGGTCTCCCATCCAGAAACTGACTCAACCAGTTTTGATAAGGAGGCTCTTTTATGAAAAAGACCTGTACCTTAATCAATTGCTTTTAAAGATCAATCTGTTTATCTATGAAGAATAGATAGGTATTCATACTTACTGCACATGTATTTTCTCACTTTATTCAGACGGGCTGTCGAATACGAACTTAAAAGACTAATATCATACCTGCAACTTTTGGAAATCATCCTTTTCTTGCCTTGCAGTTTCTGTTCTTCTTTGTCTATCCTCTTCATTTTGAAGATGCTGCGCCAATTCTAGATCATTCAAGTTTCTTCCTATTAAATAAAAAATATGGAAGTTTAATGTATTTCAAAATATTGAATATTTAATTATCCTAAAATAAACTACACATATTATATAATTTCGGCAACATCTAGTTTCAAATTTGCAGCATAATTCTATGTATACTGACACAGAATTAACCTATGCTCACTGAGGCACAGAATTAAAGTCTTAATTATGCACATTACATTCATACACACATAATGAAAAGCTGAACTAATCAATATAATTCAAATAATTTTATGTATTTATTTAAAACATTTATATAGCTGCTTATATCAAACTCTAGTTACTACTCATCAGTGTAGTATCACAGAAATTATAAACTGAAATCACCTGCATAGTTTATATATACAAACTGGTTTACTTGATCGGTAAATTATACTAATTTGCACTTGGAGCACAGTTATTAACTTGCAGGATGTATTTCTTCCTAGTCATAACTGCTTTGTTTGTTATTAAGGTGCATAATCCTCATGTCTAGGACTTAACTCTTAAAACCTAAGTAATACTCAATTATCATCCTCAGTGGGATCAACATTCCAACTAGCAGAGGAAGAATGCAGGAATTTATCTTTCTCTTACATTTCTGAAACTCTGTTCCAGATATGAGAAAGCTTCAATGCAACAGTGTGGGGAGGACACCAGTGGATGCCAGGAGGAAGGAAAATGAACCATATATATTCTTCTTTCTCTTATTCCAGAAGGAATGTTTGTAAGATTGTTTTGAAATGAATAATTCTACACAATTTCTGAAGGTAAAGTATAGCATGCAATTATCCTTTTTAGAAACAAAGACTCATCACTTATTTCCTGGACAGAACAATTTGTTTACATAAGGTTAAAAATATATTTGCCAGTTTAAGAAAAGTGGTATTTACAATGTGAGAATGCAGGGAAAATATATGAAACTCTTATAACACTGATATGGTAACACTCAGCTGGATGAAGCAGGAAAACCTCAAATGGATATTTCAGATGGAAACTTGGGAGGTGTGGGTCTCAATGATTATGTGGGGGGAAGGAGTATTGTTTTTAGTTTTCAATATTAGAATTCTACTAATCACATACGTACAGTCCTATTAGATTTTATCTTGTATACAAAATAATTTACAACAATTTTAAAAATGGATATTGCCTTATTTCAATGGCCTTTGACTGAAAAAAACTGACTCAATGACTTGAGGTAGAGGCGCATAAATTATTTAAAATCTTTTTTCCACTGCCGATGACATTTTATTATTTAAGCTATTTAAGTTGCATTTATTTATCTACTCTGAATACAAATGAGTATCTTATATGCATGGTATTTCAGTGTTTATGAGATTCATTCTACAATATTAGAAGAAACAGCCAACTGATAACACTGAGGCATTTTTCCAATTACAACACACTGCTTTTTAACTTTCATAGTTGAATGAAACTTCCCAAATCATGGCAAATATGCTTAAAGGATAACATGTCTTATTTTGGAATCATTTACTTTACCTTCTAAAATGCTGCATTCATCCAGGTGCAGTTCAACATGTTCTTGCAGAACTGGATAATTGGTACAACTAAGATGGCATATTGGACATTCATATAGAGGTAGACCACTTTCTGCATTGAAAAAAAATATTTTAAAGATAAATGATGATTTTACTGGCCATTCCTACAAAAATCAAAGAAATTAAACAACTCCAAGCAAAATCCATAAATTCTTAACTTGTATTAAGAGCCAATGTTAGTGTTTGAGAGCTTTGAAGCCCAGTAAATTTGACAGATTTATAGTGTGGAATAGTGGCACTTCAAGTGAAAAAGCCATATTTATTTTTCACAATTGTGTTACTCAAAGACATACAGTAGTGGCAATTAAAATGGTGGCCTTAAACAAACTGATATTTACCATAAACAGTTGGCAGCCGAAGTTTGGCATTTTTAATTGCAGTTGATTTAATCTATACAGAGCAGTACGCTTGATTTTTGTTGTATAAAGAATAAAGGTGGGTATATCAGTTAAAGTGACTAGAAGTGGGGAAACCCTAGTCTATTCTCAGCCACAACACTCACCCATGATTTGGGGCTACGCTAATCTACCTCACAAAGTTGTTTGCTATAGGAAAAGAAGCAGAGTGTGGCATATGCAATGCAACGAGCTCAACAAATTGCAGAAAATATAGTGCCAAGATCAGTTACACAGTCTCATAAGTTATGCCAGGTGTGCCCACTAATCAATGGGAGCCAAGATACAAGGTCAAGACCCAATAGTAAGCAGGTGTTTTGCATAGCCTCATGGCTACTTTGAGGTCATAAATTTGGGGAGGGAAACAGGGAAGCTTCTCTGAGCCCTCCTCTACCACCGCCTTATTTTAATGCATGCTTTGATTAAGGTGCAGCCAACATCCGGTTGCAATTTGAAAGACGCAAAAGGAGGATGCACCAAACTTCAAGCGCTCAGTTAAAAAAAGAAAACCAACCGAGACTCCCCAGGGAAACATTTCAATCTCAACCCTTTGCATCTCCGCAACAACCGAGCGGAAATGTCGCACCCCCCCCCCCGCGTAGAGCGCTGGCGGATGGGAGACCGCAAACGGAACTCAGCTGTGGTCTCCCAGTCCGCCAAGCCTCGCAGTGTCGGAGGACGACGGAGGGCAGGGCGGGTGTCCCCGCTGACTCACCAGGAAGGGGAGACTGAGGAACAGCGCGAGCACCGGCAGGCGGACTTCCCTGCCGACCTCTCCTGGACCCGTCCATTATCCCGCCGGTGGTGGGGTGAGCGCTGAGCGGCTCCTCCTTCTCGGAATGCAAATAACCACGCCCCTTTAAGACCAAGCCAAACAATCGCAAAAACCTCGCGCGCGCGCCGCTGGGCCGAAGCAAGCGGAAGGCGGAGGCGCCGCGCGCAGGCGTTCCGTTTACGCGATAGGTGCTGCCGCCTGTGTTTAGCCCCCTTAATAACACAACGTCAAAACTTCTATTGGCGTCGGAATTCGTTTCTCAAAACTTTTTTTTGCGCATATATGTAGCTTCTTGGTCTGTGAGCCCGCTGGTCTGGGGTGGGAGCTGTCAGTATCTGGTTTCTATGGTTTCCCGTTCACGAGCTTGTTATACATCTACAACAAAGTCTATGGAGATTCTCAGTCATCCGGTTCATGGTTGTACCAAAGGTGCTTTTTCAAAGACAACTGGACTTCGTTTTTCAAGAAGCTGCTTCTTGGATGGGAAGCGAAACGTCTTCAAAGAAAAACCAGAAAGTCCAGTTGCCTCTTGAAAAAGCACCTTTGGGATCTACAACAAAGTTTTTCTACTCAGCCCTCAAAGATAAATGTTGGAATTAAGCAGGCACGTTCAAGTTAACAGTGGTTCTCATAACGATATATTAAAAGCATTCACTACGTTGGCTTAAGACAAAAATCAATCCTGGTATTTTAAAGGCTGATTGATTACCAGGAATATATGTTAGGCATTTTTTTTGCATTTTTAACTCCGCAACGACCGGAAGCCGAGGAGGAAGGACTCGTTTACGCTGGCGATGAGTGCACTTTTGGGAGACGTGGAAGAACAATTAGGCGCTGGATAATGTTATGGAGAAAGTCTATGTGGTTGCTAGGACTCGAAGTCTACTCGTTAGCATATAATCATCCGACAGATTTTGTTTTTAGCGGAGGGGAAAAAAGCGGCCGGAAGCAGCAAAAAAGAGTTACGAAGAGGAGGCTTTTATTGTGTGAATGAAGCAGATGAGCGGCTGCCCAATAAAAGCTTAGTGTGCAAAAAGATTCATGTTTCAATCCTTTGCCGGGTTTAAAGTTAAAGCCGGTTGACTGAAACAGTCAATACAGGCTACTGTATTTAGACGACGCGTTCTGCATGTACGTTCTCGTGATGGTGGTGGTGGTGGAGGATGATAAGTTAAAATATTAGCACAAACTTTCAAGTCAACGTCCCAAAGGTGCTTTTTCAAGAGGCAACTGGACTTTCTGGTTTTTCTTTGAAGACTTTTCGCTTCTCATCCAAGAAGCTTCTTCAGCTCAAGCTTCAAAAAAACAAACAAACCAGAAAGTCCAGTTGTCTCTTGAAAAACGCACCTTTGGGACGTTGACTTGAAAGTTTATGTGCTAATATTTTAACTTATCATCCACCACCATTAAGAGAATATACATGCAGAACGCGTCGTTTAAATAAAGTCCTCTGTATTGACTGTTTCAATCAATCCGCTTTAACTTTAAACCCATTGACCTGGATAACTGAGAATCTTCGTAGACTTTTAAGACAACGGTTTCCGAGATAATTGAACGTCCATTTAAGCCCTGTGTATCTCTCTAGTCTAGTAAATGCTGGCTGGGGAATTCTGCGACTTGAAATCCGGACATCTTCAAGTTGCCAAGTTGGGAAACGCTGCTGTAAACCCTTGTTTATCTCTATCTACTCATTCTACCCTTTGCCTATCTCTATGGAGCTTTTGGCGAAAGCGGCGCAGCTCGACCAATTCGCGACTCTTGCGCGCAGGGCACGTTGGGAAAAGGGGCGGCGCCCAGCTTGGCATTTCGTGCCCTTTGGGCCGCCATCTTCAATCACGATCCAGGTTTCTCTGCGGCGGAGGGACAGCGGCGCCTGGGGTCGCCCTCCGATGGGTACGTGGGCGTTTGTGGATGTGAGGTGAAGGATGGACAGGCGCGGGATTAAACTGTAGCTTTGCTTCAGTAGAGTCTAAATTGGGAAATATGGCCGTTAAAACCGAACGAAGCCCAATGGAGAGAGAGAAGGGTGATGTGCGGGGTCTCTTTCGCCTTTGCCCGGCGCTCGAGCTTACCCGATGCAATCGGGGAAGAGGACAATTATTATTTTGTGATTTGCACATTTTTCCTCTTATTTCCTCCGGGCCGGCGGCATTCTCACCCTCTTCTTCCACCTGGCGCCTTGGTAAAATTGGCGAGTGATAGTTGGCATCGAACATGTTTACTTAGAGGAAGCCCAGACTAGACATTCGTAAGATCCATGTCCCACTGAACTCGTGGAGGAGACAAGCTAGCTGCCTCTGCGTTGTTTTCTTGGTCTCCGGGCTCTTTTTCTTCGTGGCAACGTTGGTGAGAGAGAGGGGGGAGGAAAAGCAACAACTGGGAATAATAGTTTTAACAGCAATTCCTCACATGTGATCGGGGATTACAATGTTAACAGCCAGGAATGCAAAAAATGGTGAGCGTCTGTCCCCCACCTCCCTCCTGTAAACAGCTGATGTGGCGCTAGATAACTGTTGAACTGCAATTCCCAGCATCCCTAGAATAGGAATAGGAATAGGGAATGGAATTCTTTATTGGCCAAGTGTGATTGGACACACAAGGAATTTGTCCTTTGGTGCATATGCTCTCCGTGTACATAAAAAGAGAAGATACATTCGTCAAGAATCATAAATACAACATTTAATGATAGTCATAGGGTACAAATAGGCAATCAGGAAACAATATCAATATAAATCCGTAAGGATAGCCAAAGGGATGCTGGCAATAGTTGTTTAGCAGTAATCTCTTCCCCACCCCCAGGAAAAAACAATACAGGTAGTTCTTGACTTACAACAGTTCATTTAGTGACCAAAGTTAAGATGGCATTGAAAATTGTGATTTAGGACTATTTTTCCATTCATCCGATGTGGATAAAATGAGGGCCCAGATTGTTGGGGGCAATATGCTGACTCTGTAAACTGCTTAGAGAGGGCTGTAAAAGCACTGAAGCAGTATATAAGTCTTAAGTGCTGTTGCCATTGCTATGATCTGTGCAGCATCTCCATGATCATCTGGATCAAAATTCAGATGCTTGGCAACTGGTTCATATTTATGACCATTGCTGCATCCTGAGGTCACGTGATCCCCTTTTGCGACCTTCTGTCAAACAAAGTCAATGGGGAAGCCAGATTCACTTAACAACTGGATTTACTAACTTATCAACTGTAGTGATTTACTTAACAATGGTGACAAGACAAGTCGTAAAATGGGGCAAAACTCACTTAACAAATGTCTCACTTAGTAATAGAAATTTGTGGTTGTAAATTGAGGACCACCTGTATTAGCACCCTTCTTTGGAGTGCTCCAAATTCAGCTTCTATACTTAGCATTCATAGAGACAGGGAAGAGTTTTTAATGCTCCACCAACCCATCTTTCCTGCTTCTGCTTAACACTTTCAGGTAGCAGGACCAGCTCTGTCTCGTTTAGAAAATGAATGACCAGTTAGGGAGAGAAGAGTTTGTAAGTTTCATTGTAATGGCAAAAGTTGTTCAAATGCTTTAGTCAGAATTTCCAGAGAAACACCTGACATACTTTCTAAATTTGAAAACAGTGAGGCTTGAAGACGGCTTGAGACTTAGAAGGGAGCATGACTGTTAACAATGAGGGTTGCATCCTTCTTTGAGAGTTTGTTTCTTGAAACTAGTCATACACAGATCGCTGTACAAAATTTAAGTCCAGCTTCTGTTGCTGTGTCTCTTAACCCAGAATTAATTTACGACATTGTATTTATTATGGATATTTCAAGTCTATGTAAAACTTCTGGTTGATGTAACATTGACCACTGTAACTATGCTTGATGATGAGCTTCTAAAGTTTTAAATTGGTTCAGTTATATTTGACGAGATGCAAACATTTTCTCTTTATTTCCTATGCAAATAATATAAAAATGAATTTCAGACAATCCTTAATTCTTTTGTGGAGTTTTCATGAATGTGCCCCTCTCTATATGAAGCATAATTGGCCCCAACAATCTGGGTCTTCATTTTACCCACCTCGGAAGGATGGAAGGCTGAGTCAACTTTGAGCCGGTGAGACTCGAACTGCCAAACTGCAGGCAGCTTGTCAGTCGGTACAGTATTGCATTCTAACCAGGGCACCACCACAGCTCTTCATAGGGGCAAATTATGAGAAATTTTAACTCTATGAAGCAGTTGCAGGTGCAGAAGCAGTCTTCACATACTGTCATGTCATTAACAAAATGTTCATATTTTGACATCCTTCTATTTATCCCATTTTACTTTGTACTTTTGCCATTTTTCAACATTGACAACATTGAACACTTCTTTTTATCGTAAATAAAAATAATTATTTTGTTTCTCCAGAAAATGTCATTAGAGATGTAAACCCTTTTGCTCTTTATTGCAGATAACATGGCAAGCCCAGAAAAAGATAATTACAGAATGAAAAGTTATAAAAACAATGCCCTCAATCCCCAAGAAATGCGAAGACGAAGAGAAGAAGAAGGGATTCAGCTTCGGAAACAAAAAAGGGAAGAACAAGTAAGTCCTCATTTAAATCATAGCTGAGCCATGACAGTCATACAGCCCGTTAAATTGCTCATATGGTCCAACTCTGATCCCTGGCTGCCTCCCTCCCTCCCTCCCTGAGAAATATAGTCCATTGTAAATAAAATGCAATACATTTTATTGAAAGCATGTTTATAAAATTCTTTTCACAAGAAAGTTGAGTTGGTAATAATAGCTCCCTTGGATGATGCAGAATGGTTAAATTTAATCTTTTCTTTAGAGATGTACTGTCATAACTTTTTTTTTTCTGACACAGAATAATTTTATTTATTTCTTATTTCTTATGTTACTTTTTAATTTGAAAAGTTCTTAAAATTCCCTCAGAGTTAAAAGATACAATATAGAAGGAACTGACGATGGAGAATGAAAAGAATTTAGGAAAAAAAATAGATAATAGAAAAAGGGAGGGTTTTTTTTTGTAATCTTCAAGTTAGCAATAGCACTTAGACTTACATACCGCTTCACAGTGCTTTACAGCCCCTCTCAGTGGTTTTACAGAGTCAGCATATTACCTCCTACAATCTGGGTCCTCATTTTACCCACCTCAGAAGTATGGAAGGCTGAGTCAAGCTTGAGCCTGGTGAGATTCAAACTGCCAAATTGCAGGCGGGCTGTCAGTCAGCAATGTAGCCTGCAATACTGCATTCTAATCACAGCTCTTAACTTTGTATTTGCAATTACATTAGCAACAAAGGGAATCAGAAGCTTCTTTCAATTTTTTTCTTTTCTTTCTGAAAATTTGTTTCCCCACCGTTTTCTTGATTCTGTATTAATTTTTGGTAGTTTTTATCTTCTCTTTAAAACTTTCAATAACATTGATAAATAATACTATTATAAAAAGAATGGAAAACATTGTGAGATGTATCTAGATGTTACGTTGCTTGTATTTAGACTATAGTGAAAATGTGTCTATAACTGCTTTTTCTTTTTTGCACAAAAGTATTATTTTAAGGGATATTTTTAGCCTTGCGTGTGAAAATATTTGAAGCTAAAATGATTCAGTAAAAAATGAACTGTTTAACATATTTTGGAAACCCCTTTTTTTGTAAAAAAAAATTATTTTATTTTCAAAACAAACATACAACTCCTCCTTCTTTACATACTGTAGAAAGTGTATCAGCTGGTTACAAAAGGCTTTTGTGCATCTCTTCCACCGTCATAAAATATAATCCATATCAATTCAAATATCTTAACTCAAATATTTATTATATTAACATCATCATCATGCCTCCACTTTTATTTGACTA